GGTAAAACCTTGAGAAGAAGCTCTTCTAGGCTAGTGTTCCTCTCCGGGTCCCCCATGGAGCACACAGCGTGTGCTCAGAGAGGCTCCACAGAGTAGATGAATAAATCCACAGCAGTTGTTTGGATTTCAATATAAATGGATCTTGGACCTGAGAATCTGCCAGATGGGCAGGCAGGTTATAGGCTGGCGATGTGTCTCCAAAGCTATAAAACTGCAGCCGTGGTTAGAGTTGGACGCTGACATTTCGGAAAATGATTATATGCACAATTTAAGCACACAGCCATTCCCGCCCTCTGAGCGCTGCCACCTCACCGGCAGCGCTGATACTGGCTTTCTTGATATATATATTTTTTTCTTTTTCTTTTTCTTCTTTTTTTTTTTGATTCAAGCAATTTTTTTTCTCAGCCCCTCATATTTCTAACAGAGTGTGATTTATTCATTCAAAATTATGCTCCATTTTTATAAAACCCGAGTTGCTGCAAATGATGCCTGAGGTTCCACAGAAAATATTAATTCCTGATCCGCTGCTATAAAGCATGCCTGCTCTCCGCGCAGAGCCTCTGTCGCCCCAAGACAGATGGCAGCGGTCTCGGGGTATGATTAACTTCGCAGTCCTGCCAATTTCCTCACGCTCCTCTGGCCGCAGACTTCCAGATTGACCGCCAGCTCCTCTGCAAATGAACAGCGGCTCCGACTGATAAATCACGGGGATCCTGCTTCTGATCAGGGCTGGCTGCTATTTACTACTTCCGAAGGGAGGTTAGTCATATTCAAGGCTTTCCGTACGCCGAGCACACACCTTCCTCCCCAACAGCCATCTGCACCTTCCCGACATTGCTGATAATATGCAAAGTCTGAAAGTGTCCACTGATGCCTCCTTCCCTCACCTGTCCCCTGTCCATCAAGCCCAACCACCCATGAGGAGGAAAAGCACCTAGATTATAAGATAGAGGCCCTGTGCAAACTATTATCTAATAATTGCCTTACTTATCTCAAGAATTTTGCTACCTCTTCCTGTCCTGGTTGCCCGTTGTCTTCATCATTTGGAGACACCAGTGGGCTTCATACTTCTCAAAAACAATGAACAGAAAAGCCAAAACCAAAACCTACAGTCAGGTGTGGAAGAGCATAAAACCCACACCACCTCATCTTCCCACAGCCCCGCCCTGCCTCCTCAGGAGGGTCACAGTGAGCTCGGCTGCAGTCCAGCCCCTCCATCTGCCTGGGGGACTCTTCTGGGACTATCTGGACTGGACTATAGGCACAGGCACAAACACATTGCTAGGGTGTTTTTAAAGTGAGGCGAGGGATGCATTACAGCTTTAATTTTCTGACACTGTTTGCCGATCATGAGGTCACAAAACTTCAGAGTGCACGCCCTGGGAATTAGGCCCTGGTACGCCATCGCGCAGTAGAATGACTGCAGATAATGAGAACGGAGGTGGCTCAGTGGTGCAGGAGTGCGTCCCTGAGCCTGATTCTGAGCCCGTGCTCTGAGATCTAGGCAGACAGGACTGACGCTTGCTGATCGTCCTCTGCTCTCCACACACAAACACATACATGTACATATACACATACAGTGTAAGAAATCTTTTTAGAAAGCTACAATAAAGGGTTTTAAATGAAGACATGATGTTTGAAGAGACATATGCTTTAATTTTTTTTAAAGAAATATTTATTTTACTTTTATGTGTACTAGTGTCTTGCTTGCTTGCATATGTTTGCATCACACGCATGGCATGCCTGTTGGGTTCCCTGGATCTGGGATTACAGACGGTTGTAAGCTGCCATATGGGTGCTGGGAATTGAAGCTAGGTGCCCTGTAAGAGCTATAGGTCCTTTACAAGAGCAACAGCTGCGCTTAACCCCTGAGACAACTCTCCAGCCCTCCATCACACAAGGTGCCCCAGTGTCAGCGTGTCATGCCGATGAATATGCACATTTTTAAGAACACAGCTAAAAGATAAGTCTCATTTTTAAATACTGGATTTGTGCTAGGGCTCCTCTTTTGAAAACAGACCAGGAAAATCTTGAGACAAAAAAATGATGGAAAAGAAAAATGATCAGAAAGTACATGGATATCATCATGAGCACTTGCGCCACAGAAGCACGAGAGCCCCACCCCGCCCCGGAAGGGAATGGGGTGCTTGGCCCCTTCCTTTTCCTACAGCTGGCCTTGCGGGACCAGGGGTCAAAGCACTGAAGGTAGGCGTCTTCCTAACTGACGTTACAGTGCGAGTCTGGCCCTCCCACCAACCTTGTCGGCAAAGCCCTGTTTCTTCATCAGCACAGGGACGACACCCTTGGAAGACATCAGTGTATTCGTGAGCTGTTCCACGCTGAGGGCAAATGGCTGGGCGGGTGTGTTAGAAGGGCAAGGACCCTTCCTTCAATTCTTTTATCAGATATTTTGTGATAGCAACAAGTAATTAATAGATTATTCCATGGTCTAAGTGGCTACCTTGGGTAGGCCATGCTCTGGGGTGACCAGTTCCATTCCAAGTCTGCAGTTTATTTTGACAAACAGAATATTAGGCAGATCATACAATGATATGGACCCAAGCCACAATGATAATTTTTTTCCTAAAAACATTGGTTTATTCAAAATATTAAGTAATATGAAAGAAAAAGGCACCTTCTATGAGATCAAGTACTATTCCCTAATTAAAAAAAAAAACAAAAACAAAAAAAACAAGAAAACAATGAAGCCAAAGAATTCAGTAGGTGTTTTTAAGTTCTGATTTTGAGCAAGAGTTTTTAACAAAAGGATCTCACTATGCAGTCCTGGTTGGCCTGGAACACAATATAAGAACTTGGTATCGTGGCACTCCTTTAATCCCAGCACGTGGGAGGTAGAGGCAGGTGGATCTCTGTGAGTTCAAGGCCAGCCTGTTGTACATAGCAAGATCCAGGGCAGCCAGGCTACAGAGTGAACCATCTCTAAATGATTTCAAGTGCTCTCATGCACGCCCCAGATAATGAAACAGAATGTGTCTGGAGAAGGAGGAAGTGGCAAAGTTCTTGATTAGCTAACAAACCAACCACCAAGATCCCTCACTTACTCATATCTTAAAGGGGTGTCCCACCTGGGGCCATGTCCAGGTGCTTGAGGATGGCACCAATGGAACCCAACGCAAAACCCTAAACTCACTTAAAGCATTTAAAATTGTAACTCAGTTATTTGGCTCTTGAACACAAATTCTGTCGTGAGGTTGTGTCACAATGTTGAGGGGCTGGGCACTCCCTCAGGCTCATACCTCTCAAGTGGCTCAGCCTCGATTTACCAACTACAGGCGAGAGATAAGGATCGCCAGAGCCCTGTGGCCACACCTAGAAGTCAGCCCATTTCCTTTAACTGTGAATAAAAAACTGGGTTGAGGAGGGGAACGGCCCTATTATACTGGAGAGTAGAGGAAGGGGAAAACAGGAACCCCAGCTTCCAGGCGGGCACCGGCTTGACAGGTGAGAGCATTCATAAGAGGTCCAAGGGCTCCTCATTAAGATTGCTGGCCCTGGTGTCCCAGGCTAAGTCACTAAGAAGAAACGTCTGAACATCAGTTATAGCTTCTGATGCACCTTATAGAACTGTAGGGGGAATGCCCGTTTTCCTAAAGTGTGGTTTAATTCATTCCCACAGAGGTTGCCACGACGCTTGCCAGTTATGCATACACAGTTTTAGCAAGCATACTTTCTATCTGAGGAGATTCATCCACCTAGAGGGTATAAGCTAGGGGTTTGTAGTGTGTGTGTGTATCAACAGGGTCGTAGTAACGATGGTGTAATGGGATACCACAAGCTTTTTAGCATCCTCCAAAAAGGAAATACTGTATGAATCAGTAAAGGTCTCTCTGTGAACTTGGGCTGCCCCTGCTTCTCAAAGCATCTGATGGAAAGAAACTTACATCCAGAGAGACAGAACATTAAGCAGATCAGACAATGATATGGACCACATCTGGGTAGGAAGAGCTTGGCTCATAGTGAGTTTGGATCCTGGGTGTCCAATCAAGAGGACCAGAAGCAGCACCCTTCGGCGGCAGCCCCGGTTCTCTGCTCTCAGAGCACACACACTTGGGTGGCTGTCCCTAGGGAAAGGCTCTTCAGCTGAACTAAACGTATTGGGGTCCAGGGGACCCCCAGAGGAAATGCTTTCCACCCGGGTGCTCTAGATGATCTACCTCAGTGTGGAGCGCACCGGGGAGGGTGAAGGCCTGACGGGAGGGAGGGGCAGAGGCTGGCTAAGCAATACTGCGTGCCAGTCGGCAGACAGGCACATCCTCCATGTCTGACGCTGCCAGCTTCTCATGTAGGGCCTTCATCCTCACCTCCTGACAAAACACACTCACACACATACACACACACATACACACACACACACACACACACACACACACACACACACACACACGGCTCTCGGTCTGGTCTAAGGAGGGTGTGAATTCCAGTACGTGCTTTTTATGCGTCTCGTTTGGAAGCACGAGGCAGGAGAAACAAGCCAAGGAGTAAGAAGTCAGGCAGGGGACCACGAGTGGCTTATATGTATACAGCTCAAGAAAAAAAAATCTTATTGAAAGACACAGTCCGGGGGGGGGGGGGGGAGACATGGAAAGAGTGAAGAAAACACCTCAAAATAAATGAAGTACTTACTGCTGAAAAATGAGCCTGACTCTCAACCAATTCCAAAGTTCAGAATTTACCGCACCGCTCAGGCCTTCCCCCACCACGGAGGCCCTCCCCCACCACAGAGGCCTTCCCCCTGAGTTTCTTGTCTCTTGTTTCATGGCACAACAAGGGATTCTTCATACTTTATGTGAAATACAACATGGCGATTTCTGCAGTAATAAACTCCATGCACGCATGACAAATCCAAGCACGCAGAATGTTTAACATCCCAGTTCACAGATTCTTCAGGGACAAAATCCGATTATGAATTATATGCCACAATAAATAGGGCTCAATGTTTCATAAAGCAATTTATAGTTCATAAAAATGACGAAATGTACCTGTCAGACAGAGCGCGGAGAGCTGTCCTCTGGGCTGTCTGCTGGAAGAGAGGGTGGAGATGTTTATTTAATATTCCGACTTTTAAATTATGTGCTCAATCAACACTTAAAAAAAAAAACTGTGTTACATACACATTTCTGTCAAGTAACCAAATTTTAAACCATGAGCAACATAGTAGAAGGGCAGGTTCTTGGTTAAGCCACAGTTGCCAATGGGGGCAGGGAGAGAGAGAGAGGGAGAGAAAGAGAGAGTGTTTGTGTACTACTCCCTGGCAGTGTGACACAGGTCTCAGGAAACATGGCAGAGACCTGAGCTATATTTTTTTTCTACCACCTGAAATTATTTTTCCAGAAAGAAAAAGAAAAACAAAACTTCTCTACCAATGAATCTGTGTTGTGTCCGTCTGTGTTGGTGTGCTGTGTCTGCTGTGTACGGGTGTGAATACGGCCGGGCACACCTGTGGATTCGTGTACAGAGGCTCAGGAGGGCTCTGGGTGTCTTCCTCCATTGCTGCCTGTCTTACTCCCTTGGGCCAGGGTCTCTCGGTGCACCCGAGGCTCTCCACAACGGCCAGGCTGGCTGGCCATCAAACTCCCAGGATCTGTTTGTTTCCGCTCCACTCCAGCGCTGATGTTACAGCCGAGTGCGGTCACGCTTGGCTTGCTGCAGTTTTTACACAGGTGCTAGAGGTTCGATTTCAGGTCCCCAAGTTTGCAAAGCATGTGCTATTACCAAGGAGCCATCTTGCTAGCCACTGAAGATAGAATTTTTAGTTGTTTTGTTTTCTTTCAGATTCACCAGGGAGATGGCTCATTTGGTAGCACACTCACAGTGCAAGCAGTGAGCACTGGCGCCCGGGTCCTTAGCACTACCGTGAAAACGCGCACACGTGTGTATCTTAAGCCCAGTGCTGGGAGGCAGAGGTGAGTGCATTCTGGAGCATAGTCCTCAGCAAGCCTGGCCCAGGACTGAGCTCCAGGTTCGTGAGAAAGCCTGGCTCAGGAAAACAAGCGGCGCGGGTACGCCAAGACTGAGATGCAGCAAACTCGTTACCAGTCCCTAATGAGTCTGAACTCAAACGTTCCTGCTGCTGCTGGTGGCACTCAGTGCACGGCACGCTGACCCTCAAGTGGACCAGGTGGCCATCAAGATGGGCACTGGACCTCTGTGCTGTTCCTGCCTGTGTCCACTACAGACGCTACAGATACCCCTGGCCCTGAGTTCAGGGCAGCTTCTCTCAACTCAGCAGCCTCTTTAACCCTTTCTTAGCCGTGTGGTAAGTGGTAAATGTGTGATCTGAGAGTTGATATGAGTAGTTGACACTGGAATAAAGGAACCTGAGACTGCCAATGGCTACCAACCAAGCAAAATTAGGAGCCAACTGCAGCTAGTGAAACGGCTGTATTTTGTAAATTTCTAGTTACCCAGTAAGTTCTGACATTGTGGAAAGACAATTAAAAAAAAAAAATAGCATAGAGAGTGACTGGAGAAGATGCCCGATACTGACCTCTGGCTGTCACATGCAGGAAGACCTGCACAGGTATGTGTAACATACACGAATCAGGAGGGACAGGACTAAAGATCCAGTGAACTGAAGCTAACTGACTTCTTTCTCCCCTGTCTCCAGAGAGTCCTCTCGCTGACTTCTATGACGAGGGGAGAGCGAGTGTTGATACATAACTGGCTGGAAAACGATTTAGAGAGTGCAGGAAGACAAACAAGAAGCAGGAAATGGCTGTGTATCCACTGAGGTGCCCGGGAAATGGAGCACCCTGCATGGTGGTCCCTAGTCATGACCTTGCAGGAGTGTGCTGGCCAGCTCGACCTTCAGCTGGGTGGGAGCAAGGGCGGATTCCCTTTAGCAACCCCGCATGATGCTGGACACAGAGACCGGGCACTTGCCATCATTAACCAATGTCCTCTGTCACTCTCCCAGTCTGTCAGTGTGGAAGTGTTGCCGAAGAGCCACCCACACTGCCATCTTTTTTTCGAATGCTTGAGTTTTGACTGTGCTTTTCATTGTAGTTATTCTTTTTTATGAACTACTCTACAGAAGACAATCACCTCCATTAAGAAAGGCAATGGGAATGTACTAAACATTTAAAACTACCCCTTCAGGGAAAAGAAAGCCGTGGCGTTAAAGTACAATGCAGTATCATGTACCTAGGCCAGGACTATTAGATTTTGCTGCCTACTCTCAAAAGCAACAGCAACAAAAACAGAACAAAACAAAACCCCAAAACTAAAAAGCCACCTTCAGTATTTTTTCACACTATCATCTTATTTTACAGTTGGAAATAATAAAAGAAACAAAAGATCAGGGTTAAACATTCAAGAAAAAGTTACTTAGGGGACTCATGATTGAAACCTGAAAATCCAGCTGTAAACTAGACAAACTGCCCAATTCCATTCTTTCAAGAGTTGCATCACAGTGACCACATTTTCCTGTCTTAACCTCTCATCAGCTTTTCCTTGTGGCTTTCCTTTGATTCTGCTGCAGCAAAGTCACTTGAGAGGGTTAAGAGAGAGCTTCCCTGGGTGCATTAGTCATTCATGAACGACACTGACACTCAAGTCCATAAGACAAAACAAGTTTCCTGCCAGAAATAGTCATTTTCCAGGCTGCCCTCAAGAGAAGACATCTTTCCTCTGGCGTTATGTTAACAAGGTTGATGGCTGGAAACATGGTCACCAGATATTTCGGTTCCAGTGTATACTGCACAAATTGCAAGTCACAGGCTGTTACAGTCCAGGAGGAAATTAAATGGTCTTTTGTAATTGGGTCTAGCACAGGGCAAGTCCATAGCCACTGGGGTGCGGGGTGAAACAAGAGGAGGGAAGGGGCTGAGTTCAAAGGCAGCCCAGAGTCACGCAACCCCCTGATGGAGACAGAATACGTAACTTACTCTCAACTGCCAACTGTGTACAGGCATTGGGTATGGTGTGGGTGACAGGAAAAACAGATACGGGTCTTCATCATAGCTCTTCGAGTCTGGAGGGGGGCCAGACAAGAAAAGGTCCACGGGCACACGGCAGTTTGGATGGCAATCGCTACGGCTGAGGAGGTCAGTATGCTATGGAATGGAGCAGTGATATGACAAATGCTTCCAGAAAGCTCAGTATGTTTGGAATAACAAGGCCTGAAGGGCATGGGGGAGAGTAGGAGACCGGAGAAATGGGGGAGGAATAGGGGAGCCATTAGACCAGAGAAACAGGGAGAGAAAGAGGAAAGCCATTAGACCGGAAAACTGGGGGAGGGAAGTGGAGAGCCACTAGACCAGAGAAACAAGGAGAGAAAGAGGAGCGCTCTCAGACAGAGGAATGAGGGTGGGCGAGGATGAAGGGCTGGGTGCAGAGGAAACACTTGAGGTAAAAGCTGCGGCAGGTTAGATCCTGGCTCAGGTGAAAAGCTGTTCAAGGTCACTGTGGTATAGGTCAGGGGGGCAGCGGGACCATCGCAGAGCCAGCTGAGGCCGATTTCAAGGGCCACAGAAGTCAAGGGTAGGCTTGTGGATATACAAGTCAATCGGAAGTCGTGACATGGACAGACGCTGTACAAAGCATGCTTGCACTTCTGTGTAACTTCCTGTGAACGTGTAATAATAAGGAGGAGGGCGATTGGTGGGGTCGAGTGTATTTTCAAATGCCTCGCTAGCTTCTGTTCTGTATGGTGAATGCGTCCGGATAAGGGGGAAGGATGTGTGAGGTTATTACAACGATCAAGCAGGAGGAACGCTTGACAACATCGGAGACAAGAGAGAACAGTGACCCTTGGTAGTCCTACCTGAAGGAGCTGCCTCTGGTAGGATGTCAGGCCAGGTCAGGGATGGCATCGGTACCAGAGTCATGCCTCGGCACCCGGTGTGGATAGAGACCACTAGTAGAGATGTGGGATGGCGTGTGTGTGTGTGTGTGTGTGTGTGTGTGTGTGTGTGTGTGTGTGTAGGAGCCAAAGCAGAGAGTAACTCTCATGGCATGAAGAAGTTCAAGTTGCCTATGGACGCCGCCTAAGTGCAGATAGTGGATGATATCTGGGAATATTAGCCTGAAATTGTCAAACAAAGACACCAAAAACGGGGTGGGGGCAACAGCTCAGCGGGTGTAAGCACGAGGACTTATGTTTGAGCTCCAGAGCCCACGTTATACAAGAGGAAAGAGGAGGAATGGAAGCAGGAGCAGGGAGGAGAAGGGGGAGGGGAAGGAACAGAGAGGGGGAGGGAAAGGAGGAGGTAGAAAGAGAAGGGAGGAGAAGGGAGGAAGAGGAGAAGGAAGAAGAAGAGGAGGAGGAGGAGGAAGAGGAGGAAGAGGAGGAGAAGTGTGGTGGCACACATTTATAACCCCAGCCTGGGAAGCAGGATCCCTGGGGCCGTCCTATCCTTTAAGTTACAGTTAAAGTGAGAAACTTTATTTTCTAGCAAAGGTGAGTGACCCCAGAGCTGGATCTCTGGTTTCTCAAACATACGCAGGCACACACGAGTACACAGAAATACACACACATCACATACATGCACCGCTTTCCCCTCTCTGCAAGCTACCCACACAGGAATAAACTTGATCCAGGTGGCTTCAAGTTCTGGACTGACATTTTGCTCTTGTCCTGCAGGAACCCCTCGTTGCGGTCGCCTGGGGAAGCATCAGTACTGCTCATTTCTGGGTTCCTAGAAATGCTGTCTAAGAGGCCTCATGCTCGGCAGGCTCTCTCCTCACCCCATTCAGCACTGGGGTCAGGCAGAGCCACTCAGGACATATAACTTAACCTTTGTGTGAGAACACTCTGAGAGTGACTGACGGGAGACGCTAACCAGATGGCAGCCGGAGGAAGGAGGAGAAAAAAACCTGCTTGGCTGGGTACCCGGGGCTGTCTGGTTATTCTAATAAAGACTGCCCTGTGTGAATACTGCCTTCTCTTTACACAACCTGCCCTGAGTGGGTCCCTACGGACAAGGCAGAGTTTCAGAGGTGGCACAGCTCTCCAGTAAAGAAAGCCAGCGGCTGCATGGGGCAGCAGAGGACACACCACTGCGGCTCCTGAAGTCAGAG